ACACAAGGCACCTAAATCCTCAGCCACTCATATAGTATTATACTGATCTTTAGTCTTTCTGAGAGTAGTTGTATTTGATTAAAGATAGCACTAGATTCTCATGAAAGGATGCATGAATTAATTTGACAGTAATTTACTGAGTGTTCACATCGACGGTACTAGAACAAATACGGTTTGGGTCTAATTTTGTGCATATTTTTTTTCCTAGGACCCACCGATCTCAGCATGAAGAGGCAGCTGGCAACTAGCTCGGGCTCCTCCAGCAGCTCCAGCTCCAGACCTCAGTTGAGTCCAACAGAAATCAATGCCGTGAGACAGCTTGTAGCAGGATATCGAGAATCAGCTGCATTTTTATTGCGTTCTGCAGATGAACTGGAAAATCTCATTTTACAACAGAACTGAGTCAAATGATGACCATATTCACTGAGTTCTAAATTTGCAGTTTCCACTAATGACATTTTGATTTCCCAGCAGAGATACTTCTGGTCTTACTGCACAATCTTTTAAGAGAAATACTTCCATTATGCCACATTGTCCTTGATCCGTAAAGTGATGTGTTAAGGTGCTTCAAAGGAACTTTGGCCTCTGAAGCACTTGAGATACTTAAATTTGTTCAGCCTATTGCTTTTTGTTTTAATGTGTCAGCATAAGTATCATGGGCAAAAAAAAAAAGAAAAAAAAAGGCTGCATATTCTTAATTCAAGGATAACTCAGAAGAAACTTGTGGTATAAAAATAAATAGTTCAAGATCCAACTGAAATATTAGTGGAATTTGCTACTGACTCATTGGACTGAAAGCAGAAGTATCTGGCAAAAAAAAAAAAAAAAAAAAGCCAAATTTCTTGTTGCTACAGGATATAACAACAATGAAAAGGATCTTGTATTTTAAAAGAAAAAAATATGTAATTTTTATAAAAAGAAAACTTGTTTTTCATTCAAAAATTGTCATTTTTACTTTGGTAACTTTTTCATAGGTCCTAAAAGAAAACTGTTTTGAAAAATTACTGTAAGTACCTTTTCCACATCCCTTTGCCTTCTCCTCTTTCCAAATTCTTTCTACAAAAATAACACTTGATGCTGGAAAACCCCTTGCCTACGTTCTTTAAATCGTCACATCAGGAACTACTTCTATGAGAAGCCTGCATTTCTGCACTTATGCCTACTTCAAAAAAACCAAAAAAAAAACCGCTCCAGATTGCAGCTTTGCCATACCAGTTTTCATCACGGGATTTTTTTAATATTAAAAAAGACGTGCTGAAAAAAAAAATCACACCTTGGTTTCCTTAGAGCTGCTCACTCCTGATTGCCGCTGCTGTCTTACAAGCACCCCTCTAGCAGCAATTGGATGTAGATGACTGAATGTTGAGGTTGCAAGTGACAATCTGAAAATTTGCACTCGTGTGTAGGTTTTCTTTTCATTTTTCTCTATCAGAAATAGTTTCCAAAAAAGACTGTTATGTCTGCTGATATGATTTGTATACTTTACAGTTTTAGCTAAAATAAAGAACTCTCAGCAGATGCAGCTGCCAATTACAATGAACTGTTCCCTCCAGTACCTTGCCCTTCTTTCTTCTTTTCTAGCATTGGAGACACATGAGTGGTGTTTTCTTTGTGCACTTGAAGCAAGCCTATTTTAAAACTATTTAGAGAGAAATACTTTAGTTTATGCTTCTTGTATGATTTTTTTTTCTGTTGTTTCGCTTCGGTTGGATTACAAATTCTTTGTGCATTCCTGAATTTGCCTTATTTCATGTAAATTTCGTGTCATTCGGTTTTTGACAATGAGTTGAAGGCATCAGTGATATTTCTTACCTACTTGTTACATATGGTTTCTCAAGTAATGACTGTGATTGTGACCAAGTAATGTGCACCTTTTCTTGTAACTGTGGACATTGCTATGCTTTTTTTCTTCTAGTGTTTCTAGAATTACTGTTCCTTACAGTTACGTAAACAAACAAAAACAAAAACAAAAAAAAAAAAGAAAACTTTTGTGATACTGTTGGTGAATATAATGTGAAAATCTTATTGAAATATGAGTATTTTGGAAATACATAGATGCACAACATCTTTTAAGGTGTGAATTTAGAGTTTGCTTATTTAAATGAAAATTTAAAAATTGAGGGCTGGTATAATTTTCTCTGTTTTGTTTGGTTTAATAAACAGATTTCTGTGTTAAAACGATGATTGTGAAACCTTACAAACTTTCTAAAAGACCACAAGGCTTAATTTCTGGCAGTTTGCTTTTAACACCTGAAATGATATTGACAAAATCGGACACTCCAAATTATTTCCCACAGATATCCAAAGGTTAATATTCAATCCATAAAGAGTTTATTCTGAGAAAAGGGTAAAAGGAATCAGCATCCAGGGGTACTTCATTTGATAATTCAAACCTATTTTTAGAATATATTCATTGTCTTTTATTTCTCATTTATTCGGGAGTAACCTGGTTCTTCTAATCCTTCCTGATTTAGGGGAAAGCATGTTCTATTCTTACAAATGGCTATTTATATTTGGAGTTTTGTTGTAATAATACTTGAAGGCCTTGACATGATTTCCAGTTCACAAATTAACATTCAGGCTTGGGTTTTAGTAGACACATCAAAAATTCTTAATAACAATCATGAAGTAAATGGAGAAGAGCCGAAAGGTGCTCTTATTTTTTGTATCATTTTAATCTTCTATTATAACTTTCTCATCTACTCACCAGGACTGAATTCCTCAATGTCTTCTGCTATTGGTAATCCAAAAGATTTAAGTGCACTGAAAAAATGCCACCATTTTCTGGGGAAAGCACAGAGGTCAAAATGAAGTAACCATTTTGTTTTCCTTTTCTTTATGACTTGTACCTGAGAAAGCAACCTGATCTCATTGGAAACGCTGTAGCGGTGGATTAGAGAGATCACATCTCTTCATAAAGCACATTGGAGATTGCTCTTCTCATTTAAATGAAGCATTGAGAAATTGTCAGCCACCCAGACGTCAAACAGAAGTCTCTGTCCCTTCGGCTAGTTAGTTTTCCATACAAAGCTGGTTTCTTGTAACTGATGGGTTACTTTATCCCATTTCATGAGAAATCATGCCTTCAAATGGCCACAGAGGACACCAAGCATGGGCACAAGACCGGATTAAAAAGCACTCAGGTTTTAACGATGGCCTCCGTTTACAAGGAAATGCATTTTGTTTTCTTTACTGCTCACAATAACTTCAGTAGATTGGTACAGTCGATTCCATTTTTTTTTAACGGAAAGGAGGAGGAGCTTCCCAACAGAACAAAGATGGTGGGAGGTGAAGCCATCATTTGAACCCAGATACACCTGGAGCCTGGTCCTGCCATGTTGGTTGCTATCATTTGCTGTTTCCCAGGTAATAATCACATTCTGCTTGTGTCTTGGAACCAGGCTTTTATACTAAATCCTATCGGGTTTATATGTGTACATAAATCATAGTTACTTATTAGAATAAAGCATATGTCTAAACGCCAAATTTTACCCTGTTAAGGAGTTTAATGTCCTCTAAGTAATGGACTCTACAGGTATAAAGAACTATGATAAAACGCATCAATAATTGAAAATCATATACATGCAGCATAAAAGATAGATTGTCATTTTAAGAACAATGGGGACCAATAGTGTGAGTTTTGTAAGGAGAGATTAAATGGGAGTATTCAACTGAACCATAAAGAAAAACTCTTGTTATTAATCCTCAGGCCTTGAATGTAATGTCATTCAAAGATTACTCTCCTTTTCACTTTTTTTTTTATTAGTTCTTTTTAGGTATATGTGACAATAGAGTCATTTGATATATTTACACAAAAATGGAGCTCCTCTTTTTAATTTTTTTTAATTTTTTTAGTTTGTTATAATTAGTCATACATGACATTAGACTGCATTTGTGTACACAATTTCTCATTCCTCTCGCTATACATGGTGTAGAGTAACCCCAGTATTGTAATCATACATGTATATAGAGTAATACTCCCCAGAGCCTCACCCCTCCTCTCGCTCCCCTCTGCAAAATCCAGAGTTCCTTCATTATTCCCTATCTCCCCCCCCCACACACTATGGATCAGCATCCATTTATGAAAGAAAACATTTGGACTTTGGTTTTTTGGGGTTTGGCTTATTTCACTTAGCATGATATTCTCTAGTTCCATTCATTTACCTGCATATGTCATAATTTAATTCTTCTTTAAGGCTAAGTAATATTCCATGTGTATATGTACCACATTCTTTATCCATTCATCTGTTGAAAGGCATTTAGGTTGGTTCCATAGTTTAGCTATTATGAATTTGAGCTGCAATGAACATTTGTGGCTGCATCACTGTAGTATGCTGATTTTAACTCCTTTGGATATTTACTGAGAAGCAGTATAACCAAGTCACATGGTTGTTCCCTTCCTAGTTTTCTGAAGAATCTCCATACTGCTTTCTAGTGCTCCATTTGTGTACAGTGTGTAAACAAATGCAAATTGGTTGCACCAATTTGCAATCCCACCAGCAATGTATGAGTGTATCCTTTTCCCCACATGCTTGCCAACATTTATTGTTACTGGGTCTCTTGAGAGTTGTCATTCTGACTGGACTAAGATAAAACCCCTCAGTGTATTTCTAATTCGAATTTCTCTAATTGCTAGAGATGTTGAACATTTTGTCATGTATTTGTTGACCATTCATTTTTCTGTTTGTTTAGCTCCTTTGCCCATTTATTAAATGGGTTCTTTCTTTTTTTGTGTGTGTTAAGCTTTCTGGGTTCTTTTGTAAATCCTGGAGATTATATATATATATGTATAAAATATAATAATATTATTTAATATAATTAAATAATATATTACTTAACTAATGCCTCTGAATGTCCTACAGGCAGCGGATTTTTCTCCCATTCTGTAGACTCTTTCTTCATGCTCTTTTTTTTCTTTTTTTATTATTAGTTGTTCAAAACATTACAAAGCTCTTGACATATCATATTTCACACTTTGATTCAAGTGGGTTATGAACTCCCATTTTTACTCCGTATACAGATTGCAGAATCACATCGGTTATACATCCACTGTTTTACATATTGCCATACTAGTGTCTGTTGTATTCTGCTGCCCTTCCTATCCTCTACTATCCCCCCTCCCCTCCCCTCCCCTCCCATCTTCTCTCTCTACCCCATCTACTGTAATTCATTTCTCTCTCTTGTTTTTTTCCCCCTTTCCCCTCATTTCCTCTTATATGTAATTTTGTATAACAATGAGGGTCTCCTTCCTTTACCATGCAGTTTCCCTTCTCTCTTTCCCTCCCCCCTCTTGACCCTGTTTAATGGTGATCTTCTTCTCATGCTCTTCCTCCCTATTCTGTTCTTAGTTGCTCTCCTTATATTAAAGATGACATTTGGCATTTGTTTTTTAGGAATTGGCTAGGTTCACTTAGCATAATCTGCTCTAGTGCCATCCATTTCCATGCAAATTCCATGATTTTGTCATTTTTTAGTACAGAGTAATATTCCATTGTGTATAAATGCCACTTTTTTTAATCCATTCATCTATTGAAGGGCATCTAGGTTGGTTTCTCAGTCTAGCTATTGTGAATAGTGCTGCTATGAACATCGATATAGCAATATCCCTATAGTACACTCTTTTAAGGTCTTCAGGGAATAGTCCGAGAAGGGCAATAGCTGGGTCAAATGGTGGTTCCATTCCCAGCTTTCCCAGGAATCTCCATACTGCTTTCCAAATTGGCCGCACCAATTTGCAGTCCCACCAACAATGTACAAGTGTACCCTTTCCCCACATCCTCGCCAGCACTTGTTGTTGTTTGACTTCATCATGGCTGCCAATCTTACTGGAGTGAGATGGTATCTTAGGGTGGTTTTGATTTGCATTTCTCTGACTGCTAGAGATGGTGAGCATTTTTTCATGTACTTGTTGATTGCTTGTATGTCCTCCTCTGAGAAGTGTCTGTTCAGGTCCTTGACCCATTTCTTCATGTTCTTGATTGTTTCTTTTGCTATGAGAAGGCTTTGTAGTTTGATATCACCCCATTTATTTATTTTAGATTTTACTTCTTGCCCTTTAGGAGCCTTGTTGAGGAAGTCCATTCCTAATCTGACATGTTGGAGTGTTGGGGCCTACATTTTCTTCTAGTAAGTGCAAGGTTTCTGGGTTTTCTAGATCCACTTTTTGTTGAGTTTTGTGCATGGTGAGAGACGGGGGTTAAATTCTATCCTGCTACAGATGAATTTCCAGTTTCCCCAGCACAATTTTTTGAAGAGGCTATCTTTTCTCCAGTGTATGTTATTGTGGCTTTGTTTAGTATGAGACAACCATATTTTATGTGGGTTTGTCACTGTGTCTTCTATTCTATTCCATTGCTCTCCATGTCTATTTTGGTGCCAATACCATGCCGGTTTAGTCATTATAGCTCTCTAGTATAATTTAAGGTATGTATTGTGATGCCTCCTGTTTCACTTTTCTTAGTAGGGATTGCTTTGGCTATTCTGGGCCTCTTATTTTTCCAAATGAATTCCATGACTTATTTTTCTATTTCTATGAAGAAGGTCATTGGAATTCTAATAAGAATTGCATTAAATCTGTATAGTGCTTTGTGAAGTATGACCATTTTGACAATATTGATTCTGCTATACAAGAACATGGGAGGTCTTCCATCTTCTAAGGTCTTCTTCAGTTTCTTTCTTTGGTGTTCTGTAGTTGTCATTGTAGAGATCTTTCACCTCTTTTGTTAGATTGATTCTCAATCATTTTTTTTTTGAGGCTATTGTGAATGGGATAGTCTCCCTAATTTCTCTTCCAGCTGATTCATAAAAGTTCATCTTTGTATGTCAAAAGTATTTTCTAATTTCATATGGCCCAGATTTCAAGATATAGTTCACATAAAAAAAAAAATCCCAAAGTAAAAGTATATTATTTACCTTGGCATATTAACATATTATTTATCTTTTAAAAAGCATGTTTGGGAAGCTAACTTATAGAAGTTTAC